CATCCTAAAAGTGACGGAGGGAATGATTACGAAATCGATCACGACACGAAAAGGTTTTTTACCAGGCACCGGCAGTTTCAGTTTCCTTTTCAAATGGCAGGCTCTAGCAAGAGATACCGACATTTGGCGGTGATAAATTTTCAAAAGGAAGCTAAAACGAAGAGGAAGCAAATATTTTTCGACAAAAAATTATCCCTTGATGACTTTTCAATGCGAAATAACAGGCGCGAGACTTATGGATCGCTTCAACGTTCGCCGGGCTCGCCATTTACTTGCGGAAGCAGTTCTTGCCGGCGGAGGTCATCCATCAAAATCCAGCGGTGATGGCAACGGTGAATCAAATCATACCAAAATCTTGGCATGATTTGATATATTTTGTTGTGTTATGTTTGTTAGTCGCCTTTGCTGCTTTTTGCTGCAAAACTTTTTATAACGCCGAAATGATTGATTACACTTTGCGCAAATTTCTAGCGTCAAAGTAGCTGGCTTGAGTCTCAAAATCACAGTTTCCGATGGCCGAACCCATGGCGCTCATAAATTTTGCGCGTAGCAGGTGATCGAGGAACGCTTCGATATCCTGCGTATCCTTGTTCAGTTTCTCGATCGCCTAGGCAACCGGCGGTTCTTATTCGAGGCCTAGGCAACCATACCTGTGTAATCGCGTCGTGAAGTTCGCCCTTCTTGTCGTTGTCCAATTTCCAAAGTGACGAACACAGAATCCAGGTATCGGCAACCATGCCCAAGATGATTGATCCATGAAATAGGACTTCAAATACTTTTTCCTGAATGTATTATTACTTAGTGACGGGCCAGATAAAACTAGGTACGTATTCTGTTGGCTGTGAACCAAAATCAGAATCAAAAAACCGTGAAAAACTCTACCGAAAAGCTCAACCCGCGGACGGACTTCCCGATTAGTTTGCTGGCAAATATCGAATAGCGACAGCTGGTCAGCACCAATCCATCTGTGGCTAATTCTGCGTATGCACCGATACCCTCCGACTAAATAAATGCTTGTTCTGCTGATCGCCTTGCCATACCGGTGTTTTGACGATTCCCTCACGAAGTGCCAGCTCCTGTTCGAGATCCTTCATTAGTTGTTCGCGTAGCCGATTATCATCTTCCCCGAGCTTTTTCACTGACCACTTTTTTGCCTAAAATAGGCCTGGCTGCTCAATTTTACACCAGCGCCACCTGTTGTGCCTGGAACGCCAAAATTTCTTTTTGGTAGATCAAATTCTACTTTCTATAGCCTGGGTTCTTGGGTTCAACCAAAACCATATAACCAAAATTATAGAAGGGAGGATTATATTTTTTACCCCGAACATTGATGTCAGAAAGCTGTAAGCGGACACGCCGGCCTGCACGACTGATGTGACCATCGGGACCAAGAGGACTGGAAGGATAACTATACAAAGAGGAAAAGATATACTTGGAGCGGCGACGGTTGGTGCGAAAATCACGGCACCGGCAAAGGCCACATACGATGTATAACCAGTTCCGCTCAGCGCCAATTCGGTTATGGTCACATTCTTCTCTTCTGACGCAGCCTGACGATATATACAGGGTGGCTAGAAAGTATTTGCCGCGCTTTCGCGCTGGTTTTAATCTACTAAAATTCCAACGACAGGTGCATTAGTGGGGTGTATTCGGAAGAGAATTATTTTCTCTATCGATTTATATATAAAAACAAGCAAATGCTTGCTCGTATTATTTTAATTAGACTGAAATACATAAAACCTCGTTTTTTGTATTGGTTTTCGGCACTTTCGAACGCCTCGAAAAATTTCTTAGGGGATATCTTATTCTTTTCCGGTGCTGTATCGTAGAAACCATTAACGAAACTATCTAAAAAATTATGCTCGGGGCACCGCGAGACTTAGATGGATCACGGAAGTGAAAATAAAATTTTGCCAGTGGGGTGCGCCGAGATTCGTGGCTGCAACCATCTGCCGCACAAAAATGGATTTTAAAAATCATTAATTCGAAAGCTTGCCCTAAATTTACTATTAAAATATAGATAATGCATAAGCCTACCAGGCTGATACTTTGACTAAGACCAAAATAATTGAAAACGCCGGCCTCAAGCATTTGAAGATCGTTCGAAGCCAACGGCAAGAAAGTGCAAATTATTATTATTTTGTGCCCGCAATAATTTTAGTTACGGCTATCCAATGTGTTTTTCCTATCCACGCGGTTGGTTTTATTCCGTCCACAAAAGAAATAATATTTTCCGCATAAAAATGTGGTTCTTTAAGACATTTTGTATTTGTGCTCCAAAAACACCTTGGTCGGCTCCTTTTAGGCGCTCAAGAAAATAGCGAAAAGCTTTTCGAGACGGCTAAAACGAATTTTTCTGGTTGATACGTCCAATAAAGGGCCTTGCGATAAACAAAAATCCAACTTTCTGTTCTGATTGGTTGCAAGCAAAAATTGAAAAGATTAACACTAAAGTCAAAATACGTGCGGCGCAGACCCATGCTTGGCTACACCTCTAGAGGACCGTATCTTAAAAATCTGAGATCTAGGGTGTTAGTCTTTATCATAGTCGTAAAGAGGGGTCTGTTCGCTACATTTTGGTTATAAAATGGCAAAGAAGCCGGACACGGAGAATTTCTTAAGGAGCTTTCCCCGCGGCAAATACTTTCTAGCCACCCTGTATTCGATGGTTGATTTTACCAAGAGACGTTCTTTAGTGTCGTCGGGGTTTCAAGCAAGTCAATCCTACCTATCTTGCGAGAAATTTTACGCTGAATCCGAGGCTGCCCACGAAATTTGCGGAATCGCGCGTTTCCGAAAGTCAAGGATGATTTAAAGGGATACCGACGGCATGGGTCGATCACCCCTGATCGACTTTTTGGCACGTAGCCAACGGGGCAGAGAATACGCCGAGGGGCGAGACGCAGAGGCATTTTCCTACCACCGCGTCACCGATTACTTATGCCGTCGTCATCCCTTTAAGTTGGGAAGACCATGGCAATTGGCTCATTTTGGGCGTTTCTCGGTATTTTATCGTTCATTGCTCTGAGAAAATAGCGATTCCGCCAATTTGGTAACCATATTTGGGATCAGCGCAAAATTCTACACAAGCTGGGCGTGCTCCAGCTTGAAAGCACGACGACACCAAAACGTCTCCTTGTTAGCACCTCTTTGGCAATGGCAGCCAGTGGGAAAATAATCGATTCCATCCTCTGCTGCTTGAACGTCGCCATTTTTTGGGCAAACCCTTGTTTTAACCCATCGTATTCGTTCATTTCTGAAACGTAGCCAAAGATATAAAACCCGAATTAGAGCTAGGAAATAAAGAATCAAGTGCGAAATTCAGTTAGCAAATAAAACTGTCCGTCTGACGCGCCCGAAATTTGTTGCGTCCGAAAATGAAGGAGGGACGTCTTCTCGCGCCTAAAAGGGGCCTTATCTTTCAGGATTTCTTGTGCAAGTATATGCGTTTTCACAACCCGTGAATCGATTTTTTTTTTATTTTGAGTTCTAGTAAATTCATCAATAGTTCAAGAGAGCTTGTTTGTAAAAGCTCTGTAAGGCGTGTCTTACATATACGCCAAGCTGGAAGCACATTGATTTTTTTTTGTTCACTATAGGTTCCGTATGACTTGCAGGATTTGTTTTTGATATATATTCAAACAGCCGCTTACAGCGGCTTTGCCGCTGCGAGCGGCTGGACTTCGGGCTACCCCCTGTGCGCTCCCTCCCCTTCGCCGAAACGCGCGCGACCTGGCTCACTATGTCCCCCACTCCCTTTACTAAGAAAATAAAGAAATAAATAAATAAAGAACGGAAAATCTTTTTCCGCTCAAAGCGCCCTAATTATTTTTAGCAAAATATTTTCTCTCGGATTTTTGCATGACGTTTCAAAACTGGGGAGTCACCCAAAAACGTCCCCTTATAAGCTTCCCTTTTCCCCCGTCCCCTTTTTCGACGACCAAAGCTATGACTGTGTGAACTCCGGACGCTGCCTTGTCATCAGGCGCAGTAGAAGACCAGAAAGCGTCCTTATCCGAGCTAAATACAGAAAACTATTCTCGCGGGCTGCCTTATCAATTCTTGCTCGTCTGTGAGCCTGAAGGGGACCCCCCGTGGTGCCCAAGTACTTTTCTTCTGGCCTCGAGACATGACATTTTTCTCATGCTTTATAGAACTTTGATCGGCGAAGTCGAAAAGTCACTCGATGACCTGCAGACATTTTTGAGGCATATTTGAAAAGAAGTTATGAGATGTGTGGTTGACAATGGCTGGGGCTTTCCGGATCTGGCCCGGAATTACGGCGCAAAATACCGGATTCCGTGTCAAGCTCGGGCACATTTTTTGGAAGCCCAGAAAAGTCACAGAGGAGTCCAATTTCAAAGGTTTTATGTGAAATACCTAAACTAAAGGTGCTACAAAATTGTGTCATAAAAAAATGGCGCTGCACAATCTCGTGCCCCGCATGGTGGTGGTGAAAATTAAAGGTACACCAAAGTCTTGTTGGTTTGGTTACCGGCCGTCAACCGTCCGCGGGATAGCAAGCAGGGTTACGGTAGGCGCAGGCCGCGGAGCAAAACCGAACACGGGCCGCTCGCCTGGGGCAAGCGCCGCAGGGCAATAGGCCAAGGGAGAGACGGAAAGGGGAGAGGGGAGAGAAGGGCTATGAAGGGTTGGGGCGCGCAGGCGGCAGAGAACCCGGATTCCCGACCCCTGCGAAAATTTTTGAACGAGATTTTAGTGTACCTTTAACTTCCTCGATAGCCGCCAGGCTTACTTAATTTTTGTAGTCCTTACACTCTTCTGTTCGACATTATCGATGGGCAATAGAAGCGTTTACGACGATACATACTCAGTACTATTACTCAGTCCACCATTTCTTGCCCACCGGAAACCCACTCTAGTCGCCATTTGGGTGGGCTTTTCGGCGCTGAATTATGGCAGCCTTATCGCATCAAAGCAACGTTTTCTTAAGGTGGCCCGCTCAGTCCAGCAGCCGACTCCCGGCCCTCGCGTCAAAGATGTGCATCCCCGCTTGCAGCTATTTTTTCGGTATGTTTTCATTTTTTGCCGTAATTTTAAAAACCGGCAAATTGTATTTTGGAAACATTAAACTTTACAGTGGCTCCAAAGCCAGACCCAGTACAAGAACGGCAGAACCAATTTTCGGATTTGGACGGCAACCATTACTGCGTAAGTAGCGTCCTAGGTGTACCCGCCGCTTACTGGACTACCGCTTCGGACTTTCACCCCTAGATGCCATTTTGTTGATGCTTGTTGGTTTTTTTAGAAATTAACGGAGGATAAATGGACAGAATCACGCACCAAATCCAAGGTTGTTCCGTTCTAGACCCCCTTTAATAGCTTCACATTGTACAGAGCATCTTGACCTTGCTAACTCTGCCAATCGCCGCGGTACCCATCGCGCATCTCGTGTTGTTGTTTATCCTCTGGCGGGATGTGTCAAATAAGTAAGTGTTTGGGTCTCTTCTGTCGCGTTTGCTTGTTGGAATTTTTTGTAAAAGCGCCTTCTAGCCCTTCGAGCTACAAAGGCTCGGCGCTGCCGATCTACTTCATAGTGGGATGCATAATTGTGCTAATGGCGGTCGGCGGTCAGTGTTTTCGACTTATCTAACAACAGGATCGGTAACATTCGACATATTTAATATTTTCAGCAAGCGTTGCTCACTTTTGCCGGTGTCTATTCTCGTCGCTATGGTCTTCTAATCATTGCCCGTGTTTTGGCGGTAGGTGCTTTGGTTTGTTGATGACTGTACACATTTGTTTCAGCTTTTCCTCAGCATTCTCTATCTTTTGCTCGCTGTGTCTTCCATTATGTCGTTGGATTTTCTGGATGTCGGCGTCGGAGGTAATGCCGGTTTTAGGAGACATGCTGTTTCGCGTAGTCTCGCAAAAAATGTTGTTTGCTGGGTGCTAAGAAATCACACTTTTTCAGTGATAATGTTCGCCTGGTTGTGGTTGATCATCGTTCTGCTGCAGCGGCATATAAAGAGAATGGTGTCTTGTCCAACATGTTATTAGCTTCGTGAAATAAATCTCTGTGTGCCAATACCAACTAATTTTTCTTAGCTGTGACGCTACTGTACTGACTTTCTTGCCCACCAAACAAAATTGATCGTATTTATTAAAAAACATATTGCCCCAAAATCACTTCTTCCCAAGCCATGCTGGCATCTGTGGTGCTGGACCCATTAAACCGCCATCGAGAACCAATTGCCCAAGGTTGATGTCGAGGTCCAAATCGTCGAGACGGTTATTTCGGCCGCTGCCGTGGCCGTTTCGACCTCCATTCCTGCCACGATCTCCATTGCCACGTCGTCTGCCGTTGCCACCATTTGATGGCCACTTCCTGGAAATATAGCATTGTCAAAAGAATTGGAACGGAAAGGCCACCGCGCTCGCGTTGCGCTCACTTTTTCCAGTCAAGTCCCTACTAAAAGCATCGCGCAAAGAATTATCATCCTTACAATTTTAATTTTTGCCAATTCTGAGCATGTTCACCTGGCACATTAAATCAAGAAAACCAGACCGGTCAGTAACCGAGAATTTCTACCATGGACCCACCCGCTCTCATCAGAAGAATGGCTGTGGCTGTGGCTATGACTGTGACTATGTGGTCGCTTCGTCGGCACCTTCGTCGGCGGCCTTGTCGGTGCTTTTGTCGTCGGTTTTTGAGTCGGAGGATGCTCATGACTATGGCTATCGTCGTCGTCACCGTACGAATCAAACGATGGACATGGTGCGTCCCATTGACGGATCTAAAAGCATTGAAAGACCTGGCCCTCCTTGACCGCGCCAATGAACCCTTATCCGTTAAACAATGCGAGGCGTGACGCCTATTAAAATTTATAAAAACTCATAGAAGAGCACGAACGATAAATCCGTAGCCATACCTTCCCTGATCCATTTAATTTGTATTTTTCTGCATGCCGACTTACCACATTTTTGCCCAATGGCGTCCCAGTGAGTGTCACATTCTGGATATCACCGCAGCACTAATCAAAAAAAATGACAAAAATCGGAGCAACTAAACCTGGAACAGCTTGACGTAAGAGAGTGGTGTGGACCTTCCCTTGATGTTGATAGTCGCTCCTGGCCAGCGTGCATCCTTCCCAGAATATTGTACTTGTACCCGGGTCGCGGTGATCACTCTGGAAAGTGTCTTTTCTATACATAATTTGCATGTGCAGCTCTATGCTAAAAATTTCTGATGCAAAGAGTGACGATTCTCAAGGTATCAAAATCTACCGAATCGTGATCTCAAAGTCCGCTCCGGCGGCGAACGGCAGTTGACGGTATTGATAGCCGGGCTGCCAGGGCTTCTGAAAAAGTTGGGTTAGCTTTGCGTGCTCTGGCATCCGCAAAAAAAAACGACGTTATACACTCAACGCCTTCCTACCTCCGTTCCAAGGCGATGCGAATATGTCACCAGCGGATGTGACGAATTCCGGAAGTTACGGTGGTCAAAGTGGCCAAATACATCAATGGCGTATCTTGCCTCGAGTCCACATGTCCATCTAAAGATTTTTATTAGCTGAAAAAAACCGGAAATCGAAAACGACATTTTAGCGCGCGGCGGTTACATGTCGTCATGCCTTGTAAGGCACCCGATCTCTCGATCTCGGTCATTCACTGATCAATTCTCCCAATAAAAAATTTAGAATCATCAAAATTCGATGAGAATTACAGAAATGGCTTCAGAATTTCTAACTTCAAGTGTTTTCACGTGGAGTGTTTTCACAAACAGGGGAGCAAAAGACATGCGGCGCGGTAGCGCTGCGGTCGAATCTGGCTATTTGCCGGGAATCAACGCAAGGGGCGGAGGGAAGAGGGAATCCCGACCACCTCGGGGACGACACTGGAGGGGGGAAATTTACAACTACCCCTGAATGATTTTGGAAAGGTTTTGGATTTATTGACGAATCTTCACCATAAACTCTTTGTTCTTTGATGAAGTAAAAATTTTTGGCCCTCAACTCTGATTAATTTTTCGAAAAAGTTTGCGTGGATACGTGGAGATCACAACGGTCGTCTTCCGTAGGACGAAGCGATTTGCCCTCCCCCCTTTTTGGGTTGGTAGGAAGTTCCCTGTCGCCCCGAGGGAATCAGAAAGAGAGGGGGAAGACAAGAAAGAGAGAAGGGAGGGGAACGTTTTTTCGGTTTTTTCTCCCATTTATGTTTCTTTTCCGAGTTGGAAACCATAAGAGTCTTGATGGGAGTCCTAAATAATAAAATGGGAATGGGAGAAAAGGGGACATCCATTCTCCCGAATTTGGCGAACGGAATTTTGGGAGACAGCCCCTTGCCCACCAAGGAGGGGTCAGCGGGAGTAGGGCGGCGAAAGGAGGGGGAAGGGACACCGTTATGGGAGAAACAGGGGGATTGTCAACAGTTTCGTTTTCGGATATGATGGGGGAAGATGATGAGGAGTGGATCCGTCTGTTCCGAATCTAACCGGAAATTTGGAAATTTAAAATTAGGGGTTGGAGTGTCAAACAAGTTTTGGTTTATGGATCACTGATGGAAGAGAAGACGGTGATTGTAGTTGAAGTGGATCTGTCTGGTTCCGGATCTGAAGGAATGTTGTTTTGGGAAAAAATAGGGGTTGGAGGTTGTCAAGTGGTTATGGTATCACCTGATGGGAAGAGCAGACAGAGGGTGGATCCGTCGTTCCGGAATCTGAACCGGATGTCTGTTTTTGGAATTTGAAAGGGTGGAGTTGTCAAACAAATTTGGTTTGATACCTATGAGAGGACGGGATTGGGGGAGTCGATCCGGACGATCCGAAAGGTGGATTTGGTGGGGGGGGGGGGGATTCATCGACACCTCCGGGACGACCACCTCAGGAGCAACCCCAAATTCTCCCAGCAGTTCCACCCTGGCCGTGGACCAGCTTTCGGAGCCCCTTTTAGAACATTCCGAGATGTGTGGCAGGCTTGGGCCCTCTGGCTTTGGTAATGAGAGCTGTCGGCGCACGAAAATTCGATCGGTTTCATCTAGTTATTGATTACCTCTGCATGCCATTCTGTATTTTGCCCTTTGCCGTGAAGACGTCACCGACTTGCAATTGCCGTCTGAGACAGCGTCGCCAGTAGTCTAGAAAGGGCGTCTTTAGGAGGACCGGGGAAGGGGGGTGGCGCCGTGGGCACCTATCAAAACCCACAATCCTTGCCCGGGTCTATGCCATGGGCCAGGCAGAAAAAGACACCAAAAAGCGCGAGGCCAATCCACATCAAAGTCGATTGTGCCAGAGCAGTAGAGGTTATTTGTAACTGGCAACATATGTAGCGCGCTCGGCTCCATAAAACCGTGAGAACCTCGTCCGCAAATGGGGATCTAAACGATCTTCACATGTTTTATGCTTTAACGCTGCTGTGTTCTGCTGTTATACTCTGTCTGTTTCTCTCTGCCTCTCACTCTCTCCCTCTCGCTCGTCCCTCTCACATCCTCTCCTTCTCTGTCTCGTTCTCTCTCGATCTCTCTCACCCTCACTCTCGCTCTCTCTCACACTATCTCGATCTCTCACTATCACTCCGTTTGAGCCTTATTTATTTGATCAATACAAGGGTAATATGCAAATATTCACGAAAAAAAAAACAGAATTTTCGGTTAATAACAGTAAGAGAAGAGTGTTCTTGGTGAATTAATTTCTTTTGAGAATTTCGATTTCATTTAAACGCGGTACGTCACGGCGTGTTCGGGAAGCAGCTGCCTTTCCTCGATTTCCAGTTGACGATCCCTGAAATTATGCAAATTTTGCGGTATAGAAAAGTGGCAACACCAAAAGTGGCACCAACCTCACATATCGATAATACTGATAATTGATGAAGCTGCCCCAAATCAGTCCCAGAGTGTCTCGGACCTTTGTCTCCGGCTTGTGGTCATGATCCCAGAAAAGCCAGGTATCGGCCAGGCTGATGATTTCAGCGACGAACTTAAACATGTAGGAATTTTTGTTGTATGCGCTTTCTCCCTCTCTATCTCACTCTCTCCTCACTCTTTCACACTGTCTCTCTCGCTCCCTCCGCTCTCTCTCGCTCTCTCTCCCGCTCTGTCCATCTCTCTCTCTCTCTCGCTCTTTGTCTCCTGTTCTCTCTCTCTTTGGCTCTCCTGTTCTCTCTCTCTTTGGCTCTCCTGTTCTCTCTCTTTGGCTCTCCCTTCTCTCTGCCGCTCTGTCACTCTCTCCTCACTCTCTCACACTGTCTCTCGTTCCCTCCGCTCTCTCTCTCTCTCTCTCTCTCTCTCTCTCTCTCTCTCTCTTTCTTAATATCCCTTACTAAAATTTAACCCACAAAAACGATCATAAAGGCCTGCATGTAACTGGGTTTCAACGTCCAGATGGTACGTAGGGCAAAGAATATGACAACCCACCAGAGGATCCACGCGTAAATCTAAACATAGCTTATTTTGCAAACCGGTGTTTGAAATTAGTAATATTCCTACTATATATGATTTAACAATATTAATTTTGAAATTACCAAAGGGTCTTTGAGGAGAAACGGAAGGATAGCGGGCTCGGCGGCGATCGCAAGGATCACCATCACAATCGTCACAGCCAGGACGAACGTGCCCATGAGGACGTCAAAGGTGAACCAACACTAAAAATGTTTTGATTTTTGCCACAGGATATCGTCCAGATACCTTGGCTGTACACCCGCAGCATCCGCAGCAAAGATAGTTATCCGGGTCGACAGGGGTTTTTGGGCGATGATTCGGCCGCCATAGCCACATTGGGAACGCCATTTTGAGCTTGGAACTCTGGAAATTCTTGAAAGTTAAAAACGAAACGGATGAGAAAAACTGTATAGAGGGTGTCCCAAAATAACGTCCGGACGCTAGAGGTCCGAAGAAAGGTCGGAGCGGGATGATTTTTCATAATTCGAAAGCGCTTGAAACGGCGGATGTGCACCAATCTTCAATACCATGATTTTATTTAAACGCGCTATTTTACATGCCATTTTGTAAAGTTTTGCGGTTTTTCGGGGTCGCATACGAGATAATTTGCCTCAATTTCTCCAAGCATAATGCCCGGAAGCAGCCGTTAATTAGGGTGCAGCAGGGCTTTTCAGGTCAATGTTTTGAAATGCGTTGGAAAATCATGCATTTAAATAAAAGCGTGGTTTAGAGCGTTGAAAAACTTTTCTACACTAAAATATTTGGAGCTGCGATAAAAACGCTTCGTAAATTTTTTGCTGTTTTGTCGAATGGGGTTCAAAAATATCGAACATTTTTAGGTTCAAAAATAATAAAGAAAATGGCTAAAGTAAAGTCTAGCCAGTAATTCTTGAAGGTAAAAACCAAAAGATAAGAAAGTCACCCACAATTGCTAGGGAGAGGCAAAAATATTTAGCGGACTGTGTGGTTGGGATGTGGTTTATGTTTTGACTAGTGGGGCCCAATTTTCTAGCGGCATAAAATGGTGTTGATGAAGGAAGAGAGGGTAGGGGGAAGATAGATGAGATGAGTAATCCGGAGAAATAGTCTGGGAAAACGAGGAAAGTGCCAAATGCCCTCCGCACGCCGTTTTTCGGGGCGCCCTGTCTTCCGACGACTACGTCTGGTGGAAAATTTTACCAATGTATGTTGGGGTACCTAACAAATCCATTTTTACATTATTTTCAGCTATAAACAAAATGCTTAGTGTATTTTTTTACCGAAGGGGACTGAACAAATCTCGAAAAAATGTCGGAAACATCGAAAACTAGCCGCTCGCCTAATGTGCACATGAGGAAATCACGTCGAAATCTCGTTTTTGTCCCATAACTCTTTAATGCTACATTATTATGGCGCTCTATAAGATGATGCCTTTAGAAAATCTCGCAAAAAATTCCGAAGTTGTTGGAAAGCAACGTTTATTCCCCATCTAAAGCTAGTTTGTATTTGCTATGATTTTTTGAAATTACAATATTCCAAGGTACGATAAAAACCCTTAGTATATTTTTTGGATGGTTTATCGAATGGCGTTCAAGAAAATCCTGAATTTGAATTCTGAAATCTATATACCCTGAAAATATCGAAAATTTTCGGACCCATGCGCGGTGGGGGGAACAAAGTCTAGCCAAAAATTCTTGAGGCTAAAAACCAAAGGGAGAGGAAAGTCATCCGCAATTGCCTAGGAAAATGAATGATAGAATTTAGCCAGCCGTGGCTAGGAGGTGGGTTATGTTTTGACAAGTGTGAGATGGGTGTCCGGGGGTCGGGCACAATTTTCTAACGGCATAAAATGGTGTTGATGGAAGGCGAGGGTAGCGGGAGAAAGGATGGGGTGAGCAATCCGGAGAAAGAGTGTGGGAAGACGAGGAAAATGTTTTTATATGGCATCTCCGCTGGCATCGTGGATGTGTTTATATGAGATCGCCGACGGCGGCGTCAGCTGATGGCGATCTCGAGCAATCGATTTCTGAAAATTCAGATTTTTAGTTGAGCTGCTCGGTTCTGGTTCTTTTGCGGGGGTGGGGTATCGAGGACAGTAACATTTTTTTGTCACTTGCTTCTCTACCCTTAAATTATATTATTTTGAGCGGTACACAAAAATCTTAGAATATTTTGATGTTCGGTCGAATGGCGTTTAAAGAAAGTCGAAAACTAACAAAAATACAGCGGCATTAAGATCAATTTTTGGTAGTGTTCTTGAAAAATCTACAAAAAAAGCGTTAATGCATCAAATGATAAGCCTCGCATCTGCAGTATCTCTCTCTCTCTCTCTCTCTCTCTCTCTCTCTCTCTCTCTCTCTCTCTCTCTCTCTCTCTCTCTCTTTTTTTTTTTTTCCCTTTTTCCTTTTTTTTCTTTTTAATTTTTTTTAAAATTTTTTTTTTTTTTTTTTTTTTTTTTTTTTTTTTTTTTTTTTTTTTTTTTTTTTTTTTTTTTTTTTTTTTTTTTTATTCCATTTTTACTCTGAATTTCTTTTTTGTCTTTGGGTCGTTTTTTTTTTTCTTCCTTTTCTTTTTTCTTTTTTTTGTGTTCCTGTTTTTTTTTTTTTTTTTTTTTCCCCCCGCCCCCGCCTTTTCCTTTCCTTTCCCCCCCCCCTTTTTGCTCTTTACTTTTTGCTTTTTGCGTTAATATAAAGCCACAAATCGGCATCTCTGGATTCATGCCGCAGTGAATTAGTTTTTATGTCTTTCTTGTCTCACGAAAAGGGTTCGGATTGAACTAACTGTTACTTCGATTAGGAAGTTTCGATTTGGAGAGGAAGACCGATATTTTCAGAATGTAAATTAAATAAGTTAAAGGCTTTATTAGCACGGTTTCTTCATTAAATATCATTGCACAAATTAGGCCAGATCTTATCCGCAGTCCCCATCAAAACACATCACTCCATAACGGTCCAAAAGACGCGGCGTGTAGTCGTCTTCGATGATCACGCGGATCCTGGAAATTAATTTTATCGTTTGCATCCAAAAGTTGTAGTTTGTAGGTTTTAAACGCCTACTTTCCATTGCAAAATAGTTTTCGGGAGGTTGAAAAATTCTGAAAATTCCGCACTTTGCAAGTTTTCAAACGACGACCATGAAAAAATCTTATTACGCAAAATCGGCGATTTCCCAAAGTTCGCAGTCTGCAGTCTAGAAAATTTCTAGCTGTCATGTACCCGTCAAAATCACGAAAAAATCGACTTACCATCCGCCATTTCCGAAGAGCTTCATCTTGGCCTTCTTGGCGACGACCCACTCGTCTCCCTCCAGCTTCCAGACGCGAATCAACCACGCCTTCTTCTCGCAATCATCGCCTTTCACCTGAATACATGAATTATATCTATACGATAGCTATTTCTGTACCATAACGCTTTTATTCTGATTCTTGTGATCCATCGTGAAGGGCTCCATTTTCATCAGAGATCCCGGGATCAGCATGTCGACTTGCACCTGGAAATCGTCTGAAAAATAAAAACGTTTGAAACATTCCCTATGGCTCTCTGCTAGCCTGCCCAGTAGAAAAACGACTAAACTGCCTGCCAGTTATCCCAAATAAACCCTGCTAGCTGGCTTTTCACCAAAATCAGCTGTTTTACTAGCATTTAGGTGATTTCCAAGTTCCTTCTAAAGAATAGCTGCTAGCTTGCTTTTTAGCTGCCTGAATAACTGAATAACTGAACCATTCTCATCCTCACATAACCCATTCTAGCATGCCCCTGCTAATTTTCACCAAAAATCGCTGCTAGTTTGCCTTTACTTAATTTCTTACTGGGACCGAAAAGCTGGGTTTTTAATTTTTTTCTTTTTCAAAAAAACCTCCTGGTTGGTTGGCCCCCCCCCCCATTAAATTTGCGTAAACTGCTACCAATAAAAAGGCAAGCCAGCAAATATCACTTAGGAAATCGCGAAAATGTAAGAAAATTGACAAACCTCCTTATCGGTCTTCGATCGAAATTTGACATTGATCTTGCAGTGTGATTGAGAGTAGACAATAGAAATAATAGCAAATAAGAGGAGTACGGTAGTTGTGGGGCTCATTTTAGGGAAATGGACGAGCAATTGGGGACAGGGATTGACGGCTTATAAGCTTGTCTTAGTGGCGAGAGGCGGATCGTGTGCCATTTCTCGGGTCAAACGAGAGCGAAATCGGTCAATTTATCAGCTTTTCTACACCTGCTGGCTCTCTCTCTTCTCTCTCTCTCTCTCTCTCTCTCTTTCTCTCCGTCCTAACAGATTTCGATTCTTGATAATCCGGTCATCAAAACCACCCAAATGTGGATGAAGCGAGGAGATGTGATCTGTTATTGATTTGACTTTAGAACCCCTTTAAACAGGCTAAAACGGTCATCTACAATCTGAATGCTAGGGGATACTAGCAAGGATTCTTGGAGTGTAGGGCCTGTCAAATTCAATCGACCAACCTGGAAAAAAACGTTGGAAATTCGAAGCGATAGGCAGGCTAGCAGAGGTAGTTGCGAAAATCTTCGATACCGTCCGAAGGTGATGTTAGCAGATTTCCTTGAGGGATTTCAAAAATGTGCAAAATTTTGCTTTTTGAGAGCTTTCCTTGAAAAATTTGTTAAAATTTTGAACCAACGAAGGGCAGCGCCGCGAGGATTCTGTAAGAATCTGCTGGAAAATTCGTACTTGGTATTTTTTGGAAAAGACGCTAAATTTTAAACTACAAAATTTGTTGCTACGAGCTACAAAGCTTTCATAAAATCTTCAGAATCCTTTTTAGCGCTACAATTTTTGTAAATTCCAGGGGTATTTTTTGGGACACCCTTTCTATTCACTTGATCTTCCTCTTGAAACAACGTCTATGTTTACCCTCAAAAATGCTTAAAAATGGCTCAAAAATATTCTGAACCTTTTTTAGCATCTCCGTGCGCCAGATCAGCATCTAATTGAACCCTGTCCATATGCTGCCTTTTTGGGGTTTCCATCTCAGCCATCCTAAATGGCCATATCCATTGACTGGCAGAGGGAGTGTGTGGGCTATCATTTGGCCATTAGCAGTTCTCGGATTCCCGGGGCGAGTCACTGCCCAACCACTGCGCTGACTGACCATCTGTGACTTCCAGCAGCCGGGGATGGAGATGGAGGGAGTTAATATCCATTTGGCCCCCGAGATTGGATATTCTGGCTGGCAGTTGGTCTACTGCGAGTCCAATTAGACAGAAATAAGATAGTATAGAAAATACGTGCCTTAAAAATCAAAAAAAATTGCATTTTTGGGTTCTGTGCTAAATTCATGGTAGTTTACCGTAATCCAAAAGGTCCAGGTTTAGGGAACGAAGCGGACAAAAACGAGCGCCAGATTCCCTGAAAACCTGAAAAACAGTTTTTTTTGGAGGATCCGACAATATCGTCATGCTATTAATGCACCGAGCCTAAATTAGGTTTTTTTGAGTAGTAGAAGCAGTTTAGCCAAATCCGTGGTGTTTTTGGCTTCACCGTCCTTTAAGACTTATTCCAGTCATTTCAGGAAGTTCCCAGCAGTTTTTCGGCCTCCCATCGGCTCAATCAAGGTCGAACATGACACCCGAATCGGATGTGGCGAGAGATAGAGAGACAGACAGTTAGACAGACCGACAGAGAAAACATCAACACATCCAATTATCTAGGTTGTATCTGGGCTATCAATGCCCCCTCAGGGCACATCCTCCATTCCCCCTCCTCTACCACTGGCCATTGTTGCCCTGCGGGTATTTTCGAGTCCACCGCGCGAGAGAGTGGAGAGGGAGAGAGAGAGAGAGAGAGAGAGAGGGGTAGGCGGTGGAAAGACCCTATCTGACCCTTACAACACCCTTTCTATGCTAGAGAGAGCCGAGAGAGCGAGAGAACAACATACGGGGGCCACGCCTGCTGCCCCTTCTGCCCGCGTCCCTTCGTCGGGTACCATCTGCCGAAATTTTGTGGCTGGCACCCCGGGCCGCGCGTCTTATATTTTGCCACGAACATTTCCGCTTTACTCCTACTGGCTGTTAAAGAACCTGAAAAATTACTTATTCTACCGTACTTGCAAAAATTTGAAGATTGAGTCGGTTACGGTAGCTATTACCGAAAAGCTCAAATTTGATTTTTAGCTGTTCTGACCCTCAGATTAGATCAAATTGACGTCAGTTAGCTATAAAAATATTGAAAACCAAATATTGAAGCTATAAAACTCTACAAAATTCGAATTGGAAAACTATTTTCAAAACTATTCGAATATCCCGCCACGCTCCGCCTCTAAAAAACCCCAAAAATGGGCTGGTATGGCCCGCGCTGTGATATGCTACTTATTCTGCGGCTTTTCATCATCATTGTCTCTGCCGTGGGTGCTTCTTCGATTATTGGTTCCCTCTTCGTCCTAACGACGGCCAGCCAGACCCTCCGCGCCTTCATTATCGGTGAGTTTTCAATTTTTCGAGTTTTCCCATGTCGTTATTGTTCCCTAGATTTTGAATTTTTGCTAAGTGACCCCCAGCTGGGCGAGCGGGATTCATTTTGGGCAACGGGGTTCGCTAATTTTTCGTCAAAAGGCCGGGGCAGGTTCCTTGGGAATCCAGGTACCCAGAGCTGGTAGGGGGTTCCCACAAAAATTGGGGAGAACTGGGTGCTAGCTAGGCGGAAAGAGGTTTGAATTTGCAACTGGAGTACAGTATGGTGAATGGCAAGTCAAAATCATAAAAAATTTTACAAATTAGAAAAATGAAGATATTTTTTAATTTTAGACATTTTTAAAAACCCACCCGCATAATTTTTTAATATATTTTAGATAGCAATTAGCAATGTAATATTTTTTCACGTAATAAAATCATGATAATTTGAAAATTATACCATTTCGAATTTTAATGATTTGACGAAATTCCCGGAAAATTTTAAATTTTTCGAATTCCCGTCTAAACTTCTAATTTTTTGGTTGCAACTTGTCTGCTGGCTGCCAGTCTAAAAAGTGACATTGGTGGGGGACAGTTCCAAAGTCAGGTGGTCTGCCAAAAAACGGAAAGGACCGAAAGGGGGAGGGCTGTTTTTGCATATTGTCCCCAGGCGACGGCTAGCGCAGGATTTTGGCCTTGAGATCTTGAAAAGAGATTTGCTTACTTGACTACTCGGCTTATTTACGTGTTTTGGAGCGTAGTGTAGCCAAGAGAGATGGGGCTTTATTGGGAAACAGCTAGCCGCCGATTTGTATACCCCTCATTGAGCACAAGACTGTTGAAAGGAGGACGATCCCGTAAATAGGTGCTTACCGTAACGGCCCAAGGGGGTTAAGGGATTCTTTGAAGGACAGTTAAGAAAAGGGGCGGTAAATAAAAACAAAGACTTCTTAAGAGTCGGTCAAAAATTGTTTTAAAAGGATCAGTAACTCACAGCTTTCCAAAAAATTGACATTCGAAAAATCGAAAAAATGCGTCTAAAGTTACTGGAAAACACCGAAAAAGGATATCTTAATTAATACACGCTAATACTATAATATCAAAAACTACTTAAATTTATAGTAAAAGTAAAAAATGTATAGTCTGACTCGTAAAAATGACAAGGAAAAGCAGCAGAAGGTCGAAGATTCTTGGTTTTAAAAAATATTTTTGAAAGCTTTAGTTCTAAATTTTATGTAATTTGTATAAGCTGTCTAGCGGAACAGCTAAAAACGCTAGAAAATTTACTATTTTTGCATTTAAAATCAACGACATAAACATTTTTCAGTGATCGGCGTGGTGTTGATGCTTGTCAGCGTGGTGGCTTGGAAAGTGCTCTCCGTGGAAATTGTCGGAAGACCTCCTGTGGATCGAGTATTTTTGCGTGCTTATCAGGTGATTTTGATATTAATTTGAAATGTTTTGTTGAATTAATTAAAAAGCTTTTTTATACTAAAATCATCAAAATAAATCTTACTTTAAAAATCCGATCTTTAACGAAAATTGTTTTTGGCTGAATTTGTGCAATAAATTAAATCATTGATTTAACTAATTTTTTTCAGGCGAACTACTTCGATCACCGGAATCGTCCCTTGTCGGGAGGCCGATTTCTTCGAAGATCGACCAGCTCGAATGGTTTTCGGTGTTCAAGTCAGTTTTTGAGCATATAAAAGCCATAAAAAACTAAGGTGTATGCATTTTTTTCTAATCTAACCACCAAAATATAATTTAAAGCGCCAAAAACTAGCGTATTTTTCTCTGAAAGTCTTTTGAACAAAAATTATTGCATTTTTCGCTATTCTGCCACCCAAAAATCAATAGCCCCCTTAAATAATTTAATCTCCTTGCAAAAGCCTCCCGCCCATCCTCGGGGTATTAATTGAAGTATCACTTGACGAAAAACCCAATTTTCCCTTCCCCCTCCTCCGGCAAATAAAGGGATGCCGGGATGGATGGTTTTAGAGGGTTCAAGAGGGGGATGACCATCTGCCTCTAGAGAGAAGAAAGAGAGGAGATATATCCCCACATTTGAGCCTCATTTGCATCTCTCTCTCTCTGTCTCTCATTCCTCTTTCTCTATCTGTCTCTCTCGCTCTCTCTTTCTCTAACTTTCTCTCTCTCTCGCTCTCTTTCTTACTCGCTCAAGACAAATGGGTGGCCCGTCCCGAAATACCGATTCCCATCCAGAAATGAACCATAATTTACAATTTTGGGGAGGGAGCTAATAGCGATTAAGGAGAGGGGTCATTTGGAGGGCAAGATAGCGGAAGCTATTTCGGAAAATATGGTTTTTGAGCTATCTGACGGACAGGAAAGCTGGCAGTGACGTTTTGGGAACTATGCTTGAACTGCAGGCAAGCTAGCAGAAGTTCTTTGCGGAAAAATCCAGGATTTTGGCTGCAAGGCAAGCTAGCAAAAATCTTTGTGGAAGCTTTCTAGGCAAGCTATCAGAGGGATTTTACGGAACTTTCTCTGCTGGAGGACAAGCTATCGAAGGTCATTTGAGATCACAGCTGAAATAACCAGGCAAGCTAGCAGGGTTTCTTTGAGGAATCGCATTCCGGCGCTTTGTGCCCTTAATGCGCCTATGACTTCGATTTCCGATCGTTGTTTCCTTGACGCTTTGTCGTACCAATTCCCCGGTTTCCCATTTTGCCCTTCAAAAGGGATGGGCCACCTGCCTTTCCCTCCTCGATGAAAATCGGAAGCCATATGCCATCCCTTCCCTTTACAGAACAAAGAGAGGAGGGCGACATCCATTTTGAGCCCTTAGGGTATTTCCGGGAAGAGAGAGAGAGCGAGAGAGAGAGAGAGAGACAGAGGGAGAGAGGGAGAAAGAAAGAGGGAGAGAGGGAGAGAGGGAGAGAGAGAAAAAGCGTGAGACGGACAGAAACGTGTCGATCTCGGTTATGTATTACACAAAAACCGGTTGTTGGCCGCAGCGGTACCGTTTCAGGTACCAAATTGGTCTCGAGAATTCAGGCGAAAAAATGGTGTGTCCGTATGGTCCCGCCAGGTCAATTAAAGGGAGCATGACACCTGTCGTTCGTCGCTCAAAGACTTGCCGCAACCTATTATTTTTATTCGCTAAATCGCAGTATTACTACTGTAATTTTTTCCGCGTTTACTTAGCGTCATCTTTTGAATTTTAGAAAAAAATATTTGATGTAGTTTTGCGAAGTTCCGGTTTTTGAACATTTCAAACTACTGTAATTTCGTCGTTAAATGGAATTTTCTTGATTCACTGCGTAATTTAGCCTAATTGGAACACAAACTAACCCATTCAAAGTGGGAATCCCAATATTTTGCAATTTTGAGGATTGATTCCGATCCGCTACGATGCCCCGGGCATTCAGCCACCAATTTCCCTCCGGGGTACGCGCGCGAGAATATCCGAGTAGATGGTGGCCGGGACAAATTTGCATAGGGTGTTAGGTGAGACAGAAGAGAGAGAGAGAGAGAGAGAGAGAGCCAGAAAGGCCACTTGTTGCCGCTGGCAGATGGACACCCCTCCCTCTAGGGTAGATTTGACCCCTGATTGATGTGAGCGAACAGACAGCACGGGATGAAAAATCATTTATTCCAGAGGGGGAATTGGACTGAAAATGGGTGGAAATGTTGTAATGGGCGCCAGAAGGGGTGAACAGCTAGAAAATGCGACAAATTTTACATGCAAATTCCGATAAACCCTTCATTCTCAGATGTTACAATTTAATTTTTGGGGTTTTGTTGAATTCATCACCAATTTTCTATAGAAAGCAGCGTGAAAAAATTGGAAAAAACATGAAATGCAATTCTAAAATGTAACATACAAAATCCCCAAAAAAATAGAAGAAAATTACAATTTTGAGCCAGATCTTTGCGCGTTTAGATGCCAACTTTTTTGCTGTCACCATTTAAAAGCTTCTAATGTTTTTTCATTCTCCCATCTGCCATCCATTCTCATCATCTACCGTTGTTTTGAGTGACAGTCATGAGAAAGAGACCAATAATTATCTATCATCCTCCCTGCGGGGCCCCTATTTTGAGGTGTTTGTCTATAGGAAGGGAAGGGAAGGGAAGGGCCAAGGTCATCTACGGGGAGAGACTCCTGTCAAAATGGCTAATTGACAGCTGGCCCATACCCACCAACGCTAGCCAGTCAATAATTAAACAATCAAAAATTAGGAAAATGCGCCCGAAAATTGGGATTTTCGAGGATATACTGTAAACCGAAAGTCAGCCAGTTTGCTGCTTTTTCAAAGCCTCCCAAAAAATAAATTTTTGAAAATTCGCAACTTTAAAAATTGGTAAAACGGAACGAAATTTTTTCAGTTTTTCCCCAAATCAAATGGATAACAATCCATTAAATAAATTAATTTAGAGCTCAAAAATCCAAAAAAAACTGAATTATACTTGGCGTTTGACTATGTTACTCTGCCAATTAAGCGATTTATGCCACCAAATCCATCAAGGTTTCATCTTTAGCTGCCCCGATGCTGATCCCGCGTCCACAATTCTGCCACGATTCGCCACCAACAATGTTGGCACCTCCACCACCACCCAGTTATGATCAAGCACAACAGGGGCAAGGAGGGCAACAAGGAGATGTCGAAGCTGGAGACAGGGAGAGACAGTAAGTTTCTTTTTACTTCTAAAGGAGTACAACAGGCTGAACTGTCAGGGTTGTATTTCGTAGTTCGGCATATTTTTCGCCAAAATTAAAGAACAGCATAGCTTTATTTCTATTCAAGGGAGCGCGACATCTAGAATTTTTGTAGCTAAAAATTGTAGTCTGGCGCGCCACGTTTTCCATTTTAAAATTCTAAAACATCTTCATTTAACTCTACTGGGCAACCTTTTAGACTTTAGAGGTGGCGCAGCAGCTGTAGTTTGTAGGTTAATTTATAGTTTGTAGCCGTTTTGAAGCCTGTAGTTCCGCTTACAATTTCCAATTTTCAGATATGCACCTCCGATCTACTCAATATGTGGTGCCGTTCAAAGAATCTGCACCACTTCTCCGCCACCAAGATATTCCAGCCCGGTCGATGTTATATTACGGTATGTCGGTCTGAAAATAAGAAAATTTTTTATGATTATAAGTAGTTTTTTTTATCGAATTTGGAGGGCTTATTTTGCCGTTGAAAACCTGGTTTCAAAAAAAGAGTGAGTGCCGAAAAATTGCTACCGTAACCCAGCAATACTAATCTTTTTCAGGCCTCCATCCGACATCGAAGTGCGTGTAATTGACTGTCGTAAATCAACGCCAACAGCCTTCCATTTCCCACCCGCGGCTTGCTCAAATATTTGAAAAACGCTTTTTTAATCTGATAATCTTTTGGTTGCCATATGTATCGATTTTTGTGCATTTTCCAATCTTTCGTCGATATTTCCCCGTACAGCCATGCCAAAGAAGTCATTTTTCTTGTACAAATTTTTAAAGGGAACGTGACAGCTCTGTTGTTGTCTCGATCCCTTTGAAATCCAATTCAATTTCTCGATTTTGCCTGCCCTCAATTTGCCAGATCTCAACATCATTCTCATCACTATTTTCACTGCCAGTCATCTACCGTATACCTCGCCAAATCTTTGCCCTGAAATTTCTCATTTTTTGGTGCTGCAATTCTCGTCTTTTTCTTATTTCTCTTTTCCCCTATTTTGGTCTCATTGCCGGTGGTTTCCAATAAAAACAAAACTTCAAAAATTCCGGAATACAACAAACTACGTTTTTTCAGGCTATAAACTACAAAACTCACTAATCTGGCAGTCAATGCGAATAAAAATCACAAAAACCCAAGGTTTCTCGGGTTTTTTTTTCGATAAATTACGGTAATTCGCAGGGCTACAAAGCTATATTCAAGCCGTTTTCTTGATTTGTCATCTAACTGCCATCCATAGTATCGTTTCGTAGCGCTATATAAAGCCTTTCCTTTTGCATTCTCGATCGCTAATTGCAAATTGCCGCGCAGACAGGCCAATTAACCGGTTTCGCGCTATTCCGCTCCGATCCTTTCTACGCCTTCAATTTCTCTCTCTCTCTCTCTCTCTCTCTCTCTCTCTCTTTCTCTCTCGCCGAGACTTCAGTTTGTTTGCATCTCCATGGCAACAATGTGTCTCTAGCGCATTTCAAGACATCGCGCACCTTTTCCCCTCTCTTTCTCTGCTCCCTCTTCTCTTTTCCTCTCTCTCTTCCCCTCTAAACTCTGCTCCAAAATACCGAAAGGCTTCTCCCACTTCTGTTATTAGTTTTTGTCGGGCCCTTTTCTGTCACCAAATCTGTAGATTAGCCCCGGGGGTTTCCGCCCGGATACCCCTTGTTTTCTGGATTGATTTTCGAGGCGCCCCCTTCGTTTCTACGGAATTTTTGCGCGGTAGTACTGTTTTCTGGACGGCAAACAATATTTATAAGCGTTTGGAATACCGTATGGCGGCCAGAATACTGTAATCGCTAACAAAACAAACTCTTTCAAAGCTAAAGGCAAAAATTCGTTAAAAACGCATTAAAAGTTTGTATTTACAAATTATTTTCGCGTTCAGCTTCCTTTTGCGCCGTATTACTGTTTCCTGGCATGCAAGCCGCGCCTTAAAATGTTTGGAGTACTGTAAGGCAGCCAGTTTACTGAAATGCAATAACGAAAAGGGCGTTTGTAATGCTAAAAATCGCAAAAAATTGCAAAAACCTTTTTTAATTTTCAATTATTGCCTATTGTATTTATTTTCGGCTTTTATTTCCGTAAACTGGCAACCAATTAATCTATTAAAAAGTTTGAAGGCACTGTTTTTTGCTATATTTTTCAAAACCCGCTTCCATTTTTAGCGCACTTCCAGGATGCTCCCCTCCTAATGTTCAGCTAGCCAAATGGTGGAGATGCTCGAAGACAGGCTGGCCACTGTACGCCAGGTAATTCTTAGTTTTGTAGTTTGTAGCCCACCGTTGTTTTTAGATTTATGCGCCAAAAGTCAAGGGAAAAAGGACAAGAAACGATAGTGCGGCGGGACCGAGCGGCACGATGCTACCACCAGCCCATCCAGGTAAGCGGATACAGACTACAAACTTCATTGAAGGCATACAATACCACAAAAACAGCGTGGTTCGGATAGCTGGCAGTCAGAAAAGCGAATCGGGTTGGAACTTAGAATTTTTCGAAAACTAGAAACTACAAAACCAAGCCAAAAACTTAAAAAGCTGCAAAAACGCGACGGAGAATTTTATGAAGAAGACTAAAAACTATAAAAACAGTTTGGTTTTCCTATCTGACGGTCAGAAAAACGAATTACCTGGAAATCAGCCGAATATTTTGGTACTACAAACTACAAAATCCGCTCAAGAGACTGAAAAACGCTTCGAAATGCTAGACTACAGGGTATGGATCGTAAAAACGACATTGTTACATATACTGACAGCCTGTGAAGCTAACTGTCGCCCAAGGGCCCTGAACTACAAACTACAATTTTCCAGGCAACACCAGGATGGCAGCCTACCGTGTCCCATCGGCCGTTTCCGTCTTTTCCCAAGTCCCAAAATCCATGGCCGGCCGATCGCCAAGGCAAGAATTGTTGACTGATGCGAGGGAACAGCTTTTAAATGCTAAAAAGGTAGCTTCAAAGGCTCTTCAAAAACGTTAGAAATCACGAATTTCTCAAAAAAAAATAATAACATTTTTCAGAATTGCGCAAAACTCGTCCAAGAAAATACGATTTTGAAAACGAGACTATTGAAGCTCTCGACACATTCTGGAAAGAGGGAACAACATCTACAGAAATTATTGCATCGGGGGCAGGTTGGTGGTTTTTAGAGGGAATGGGAAGGCCAAAATTGTTCCCGGCAGCTACGCGACGCTCAAATAACGCTAAAATAACGTTTCATTATTCCATGTTTTGGGCGACCAGAAGGCGAAAAACAGCGTAATTTTATCGCGTAGCCGTCCCGAGCCCATCGAAAGGGGTAGATCCTTCCACTTTTTGGATCTAGAAAGGGACAGACAACGCATGACTTGGGTTTTTCTGGCTATGGATTCACCAAGAATTTTACCGCACTGCAACATGGTGGGAAGGCGAATCCATGGCTAGCAAAATCCATGGTGCTGACTTTTCCGCCTCTTTAAAGAAGCCGTAATGGCACGATATGCAGACATTTCTAAAATTTTCGATGCTAAAAATCAAATATTTTTAGTTCGAGCCAGCCGAATCGTACGACACAAATGAAGCATTGACAATGGTTGATATGGGAAGGAGGCTCGTCAAATCTGAAGCACTAATAAAACAACAGAAAGCGGTCATTGAGTGGGTTATTGTAGCAATCCTATAGCTTAATGCATTCCTTCAGAAGCATGAAAAAAGAGCGGGTGAGAGCGAGATCGGCAGCGAGTGAGAGAAGACATAGCGAACAGAGGGGGCAGACGATTAGAGAGGGGAGTGAGGGGAGAGAAAATAGAGAGAAGAAAGAAGCTAAAGAAGCCAAGAAGGAGGCCCTGGCGAGGACACAGTAAGTCGAAAAATTAAAAAGAATAGAAAAAAAAGCTAAATCTAGGGTTTAAGCTATAAAAAAGCTAGATTTTCATCCAGTTTGCCTACAAGCTCATTTTTAAAAAAACGCCGTGCGACCTTCACGCATTTTTCGCGATTTCCGGTGGCCGACTCCTCGAAGCGGAAACAAATCCACGCTCTATCTTTCTTACTGGATGTCATAGCTCCTTCTCTACCCGAAAAATCCCATTTTCTGGATTCCATTAATATACAAAATTACGATAAAACCCCGTAATTTGAATTTGGCGATTATTAAGTCTCGATTTTCCGCATTTAATTGAAAATTAGACTTTTTTTTAGGTCCTTCGACGAACTAATGACGCACCACGAGAGACTTTATGGAAAATATAAATCGCTCAAAAAAGAAAATAAGTACCTGAAGGAGAGAATAGCACGGCTGGAAGCCATCGATAAAGCCGACCCAGGTTCGTTGCCCCCTTTATAAAGACTACAAACTAACAACTGACCTCCCAACTACATTTTTATCTTTTAAGAACTGGGTGAATGGTCACGCGAAGATTTATTAAAACTCGTAAAGAAACTGGAGACCCAGGCGTTGAAAGCACCGATTAGGGCGGCTGTGGCTACGTTGGAGGTATGGACTATAGACCACAAAAATTCAACTGATTTTTAAGCAATTGTGAATACTAATAATCAATTTTTCAGGAACAAACACGAGTCGGAAAATTGCTCGGCGAGTTGTCGACAATTTCGAAGAATTTGGAGGATTCCCAGTACGTTTTTTGTCTATAAGGCTTTTAAAAAGGATAAGACTTTGATGTTTTAATGTCTAAGCTTCAAAACTAGCTGAACTGGCATGTATTTTATACAGTCAAAGAAGCCCCCAAGACAGCTAACAGAAAAGCGAAAAAGGGGAACGAGGGACCAAAACCCAAGGCCAACCATTGGTAGAAAAGGCCAGACGAAGGAATACCAAAAGGGGCAAAAGATAGCACCCCAACCGCAAAACAAACGTACGTATTTAATAAGTAGATGAAGAACAGAGTCCTATACTTGGTTTGACCGAAAGGTTCAGGATTTTGCAAAAGCGATTAACAAAGAAACACACTTTTAGGATTACCGGCGAACCGTTTCAATTTTAGTATAGGGACTCGGAAAGAGCCAAGACGAGCATTTGGATATAAAGGCTATAGGAACAAGGGTCACGAAGAACAGGCAGAAACACGAACCACGGCCCAAAAATGGCCACCAACCACGAGTCCACCCAACCTTCGGTGGCACCCCAAACGCCGAAGCCAAAGACGGTTATATACCAAAAGTTGTCTTGAGCGGCCTTCAAGTCCATAGAAGGAAGCGCCCGGTTAAACCAGCCCGTATGCCACAAAAATAGTAATTTCTTTGTTAAAACGACTGAACCCGGAAACCTTCGAGTCAAACCAAGTAAGGAAACCAGTAACTCAAGTACTAATAAAAATATAAGACGAATGTATTTTGCGGAATCGGGGAACGTACTTTATGACGCGGGCCCAGTAAGCCTTTTGGTAACTTCAACTAGAAGCCTTTCTAACCAAATGGATAGGCCTGAAGGTTTGGTGTGCCAATGTAAAGCCCTTTTATCCGAAACTTATTCTGTTAGTGTCTAATGGGTGATATTTGGGATTAGTTCGTATCCAGAAACTCTAGAAAAATTGCAAAATCCCAATTCAGGCAAGAAAACGACAATTTGAAAACGGAGGTGGACACGCTGGTGAGGGAATTGGAACAGGCTAGGATGGTACAAAAGGATGCAAGACCATTTGGGTAAGTGGAGTAGATTTAAAGGAAGTGTAACAGATGGAAAAACTACGCAAGGAGCTCGAAAATAGAAAAAAGCATGGCTTAAAATAGCTTGAGTTTCGAGCCGAGCGGGGATGAGAGAAAAGGGAAAGAGGAGAGAGCCCAGACCGTTAGACGGGCATTCCCGACAATTATCGATCGGTTCACATCGATTGATTCGAATTTCGTGCCAAGTCAGTTTTTCACTTTGCTTTTCAGCGTGCCTCCCCTGGATATGAAATCGATTGGAGGAGAATCGGACAGCCAGGCAGAGGTTGAAGCGGAAATGCCAAATATTGAAGAGTACGTTGCTTACGAGAATTTATCTCCTGCATAAACCTATCCTAATCACCGTAAATTATCCATTTTTTTCAGCTTTGCAGAAGAAGACCGAATGGATTTGATGTCGAGTGAGATCTATGAACAAGTGATGGTACACGCTGCCAGGTTGAGAATTGCAAAACAATTAGGTCTGAATGATTGATTATAATATGCCGAAAATAACCTTTAATATTTTTATTTCTTTCTAAAATCTGCTCAAATTCCCCTCTACGCACTAGCCATACACGTACACACTACCAACGAATTTCTATTTTCTTATTTTTATTTCCATCCCCGTTGTACCGAATTGTGATCGAAATTTTGTGTTACCATTTTATCAAGGAGTATTGTAGAAATTGAACGTTAAGCTTTATATACTTTTGAATAGCACAATGTCGGGTTTAAAGGAAACGCGACATCAAAAATCGAAAATTGGGAAGCCCGGATTTCTAACTTTTGTTCGCTAAAAACTAATTTTGGCAGATTTTGGAATTTGTAAGGTTTCTGAATATTAAACTGACTGCCAGTTAACTTAAATTGAAGATTAAAATTGGAATAGAATTACTGTAGGCGAGAATATTTGACGGTGTCGTACTTCCTTTAAAACGATCATTCTATTTTCCTGTTTTGCATATTTTTGTGATATCAATTAAATCCTTTATTATTATTATAATATGGACTTAATGAAAATACAGATAAATATAACATTTTAACATTACAAAAATCGCATCAAAGGAAATCCATAAATTTGGCCGCCAGGTAGTGTGGGTGTGTACATAGTAGTGATGTGGACTTGGGTGGGAGGGGGGGGAAGCGTGTGTTTTTTGGTTCGATTTTTGAAGTAACGGCATACAATTTAAAGCATTAAAAAAGAAATAAACTCAAAAAGAAATATTTTGTGGTCACTGAAGCACCCTGTGAGTGTATGATATATAAAGGGGATGGCGAAGAAATCATTCGTTAAAAAACTGATATTTGGCATTTTGGAAAATCTCAAATCCTGAAAAATTTATGGATTACGGTAGTTTCCCGATTTTCTCGGGGTACTGTATATTTTTATCAATATAAAAATACTTAAATTAATTAAAAAAACCATTTTTAAAAATTTTTAGATGGAAAAGCTCGGAGTTTTCCGATTTTTGCTATAATTTTCTAGCTGGTATACAGTAAAAAAATACATAAATTCAATCCTTCTCGAAAACCTAACTGGCCCCAAGTCGATCTGATTACGCCATGAAATCCACCAGAATCCTCGAATTTCAGGGTTGAGCTTTTCCAAAGCAGCCAAAAATGCCGAGTGGCCGGCAGAACACGGGAAAATTGGATTTTTTCGATATTTCGTGAGGGCACAGAACAAGAAAAAGGGACTGTAGGGCTATACTGTCGCGTGGAGTGTGGTGGACTGGCCAGTTGGGATAGTTGGATAGACAATTCGTGAATTGCAGTATTCGGCACGTGATATTTGCGTGATTTAGCACATAAATTGATCCTGATCCATCGGTGGCATACGGGACATTTTCTGAAAAAAGTTGGACTCAAAATCCTAAAAATTGACACCCAGATACAGTAACCCAGGCCCTGGAATTGCCATTTTTACGATTTTTCTATATAAAAAATGAAAAATAAATAAAATAATGCTACGCGGCAATCCAATTGACATGCCTTCCCAAGCTCAAGCCATGCTCTCTCTTTCTCTCTTTTGATCCCTAATTTGCATAATTTGATTTTCCTGGATTACGGTATGTTTTGACAATCGATAATCTGACTGCCAATACATACCGTAATCCAATTTTAACTCAAAAATTCGTTCAGCAAGCAAATTCTCGGGGGTTTCACACGTCAAGCGCAGTCCGGAAATGAACGGAAAACGTAAAGAGGAGCGTTCCGTTGTCGCTGTCGTTTTCGCGGCGGAAGTGGAAAAGAAAAGAGCACAGTTTGTCCCAAGCTTGGCAGAGAAGGAATGGCAAATGAAAGCTAAGCGAAAAATGGCTGGCAATTTTGAGATCGATCCGAGTAGAATTTCTGAGATTTTTTGGGGTTTAACAGGGAGCGTGAAGGGTAGAAATATCGATAAATTTTTCAAAACCGGTGTTTCCTGTCGACTGGATGTCAGTTCAGCAAAACAGACAATTAAAAAATTTTCCTTAATTACCTATCGTAATCTAATCCATTTGCATCTTTCTAAAAGCCAAAATAATCACTTTTCGGAATTTAAAGGGAGCGTGACGGCTAGATAAAGTCGAAAAAATGTCAAACTAGATTTTGGCGTTTGCTATATGCCAGTTGAAACACTAAAACACTTTGTTTAATTTCCTACCGTAATAGGATCGATTAAAAATAACCGATCCTTTAAAACCCAAAATAAATCTTTTTCCGGAATTAAAACGTCGAATCTCTCAATTGCCAGCCAGAAAGTTCAAAAACGTTCAGAAAATTCGAATACTAGAAGAAAACTCGAAAAATTCAGAAAAATTGGCTTGCCATAGATGGAGAGGTGGTGGTGATGGGGTGGGTGTACGGTAATTGGTGCGCCTTCTGATCTCGAAGAGTCCACAGTGCTCCGTGCGTACAGAGAGTATTGCATCGTACAAAAGAAAGAACGGAAACTTTGGAGGGGTACAGGTATCCACGCGAGAAATAGGCAAGGAAGAGAGCACAAAGACGGGAGATGGCAGACACGCAGAGGGGTTAGTGGGAGCTTTTGCGTCATCGGGGGGGGGGAGGCAATATCCTTAGAACCCAATTAAAGCAACAGAAAAAATTACGAAATTGCAAAGATATATCAATTTTCAACCCAAATTTTCGATTTTTCTACAAAATTTCAATTTTTTCGAAGTTTTCTAGAAAGTTTTTGCACTTAAATTATGCTTAAATTAGCCAAAAACACTATGAAAATCCTTAATATTATTTTACTAAGCATTTTTGGACCCTTAGGTAAAAATCCCCCCCGATAATGCCAAAGCTCCGTGATTGCATTAATTTTTGTGGATGATATATTGCTAACATGTCTGACAGGCAGTGGAATGCTACAGTATAGATATATGCTCTGTGTGTCGATGGGTGCCGAAAGGAAAGTTGCACACAAAATTAGGGGCGGGATTAGTATCGTATCAACTCGGAAAGGGGCGGAAGCACACGTATTCGTCTATTAATGCTCCAAAACAGGGGGTTGTACTTCGTAGTTTGTATTTTTCTTTTAAACTGCCAGGCAGACTATCGATTGGTGGAGTTACACCTAGATTTGTATGTTGGTTTGTGTGTCTAAATGTCTGTTATGTGGATTGTCTATTAGTGCGCGGTTAGTGGTATTTTTGCGGGGTTTTTGTTGTGTAATAGCTAAACTGCCTGGCAGTTTGTCCATTAGTGCAGAGATTGTGCGTCTGTCTGTCAGTGTTGTCTGTCTGTCTGTCCGTTTTCTAAAATTCGCGTACATTCAGCAGCATATTGGTGGATCTCTTGGCGTGAGCTCCCTGAGATGAGCCGCGTTTTTGCTTCGATCGGGCACAGCAAGTGTTTCCTAAAAAAATATGGTCGTTTTAAAGGGAATGTGACAGTATGCTCAAAAAAAATTAAAAACGTCTGAAAAAGTCGAAAACCACCGTACCGAGAGCATTTCTTCGTATCACACAGTAATCCAATATCAACACGGCAACGATTAGCATCGCACAGCCGGCGAAGAGATAAACAGCCCATACTGGGACACCTGAAAAGACGAAGATTACGGTAGATAGGACACCTTTTAGCGCTGATAAGGCGAGAAAAAGAGGCATGTCTATCCTATTACGCTATTTAAAGACCGTTGGAAAGATGGCCGGGCGTCCCCAGGGGTGAGGGACCGACGGGGCGAAACCATGCACGCTTTCCATCGCGTAAGGGCCCCCAAAACCCTCGACTGGATTTCCAGAAAACGGGTTTATAGCCATAACTTTTTTGATTGCCTATATTTTTGGCTGGAAACTTCCATAAAAATAGTTTTTAGCCATCCCCATCGGTGATAAAAATTTGAGGCAGATTGGATAGAAGGCAGCCATGTTCTGAGCGGAAAGAGGTTTTTGGGGAGCTTTTTAGTTAAAAAATCGTCGAAAAGGGTATAAAACACTTCAGGAAATTCAGGGAGTACTTTCCTTGCCCTTCGCAAGCTTTTCCGTAGGTTTTTTCGTTATTATTATTTGTAAATAGCTTTATTTTGATTTTGCCCAATAAGTGACCAGTTCGGCCCTAGGGTATTGGGGCCCTCCGCCGCCCTCACCCACTCGACCCCTTTGGTGTGGGGGTCGCGTTGGACTGTGGAGAGAGACCCTGGTTCGACCCCGCCCGTACCTCTTCTTGCTTTTGACAATCCATTTTCCAGAGGCCTTTAATAGCCCGGACTTAATAGCTAATTTATTTCATGACTAATTGCAATCCAGTTTGACCGATTTTCAAAAAAAATCGACAAAATTAATCGATTACCGTATGTAATTCCGCCGAATTCCCATTTCTTGTAAAAGTTTCGAAGGACTATTCGATTACGCTATTAAATTTTAGCGCCATCTACGAAACTTAGTGATTAAAGCTTGCTTAAATAGCCGATTACCCAGTGTAATTCTTCTAATTTTTGCGAGGATTTCATTGGCTAATCGACTACGTTATGTAAATACCCCAGGCCAATCGATTACGACATTTAATTCTGTCCAGCCGAGCTGATTCAAAAGAAAAAATTGCCTGGACAGTCGATTACGCTCCGTAATGTCATATTTTCAAAAATTAGCGGTTTTTATCGCTAATTACGACATGCAATTCTCTCGCTTACCAGCCCAATCCTCGGGATTCAACAAATTATGCGGTGTCCCTCCAGATTGTCCGGGTTGTAGAAGGGAATTCGAACCGGAAGCGGGCCAAATATCGAATGGATGTCTAGAGGGAGTGGGATCATCTCCCATTTCACTTCCTCCACCAGAATAACTACCCATCATTGAACGGATAGAGGAGGGGAGGGACGAGGAGGAGGAGGCGACATCCTGAAAAATGGATTTTAAAAGGAGCCTGACATCAAAAACCGGGGTTCGAATTCAAAATACCAAAAATACTTAAATTCTACAAATCGCCGGGCCGGTTGGCAGTCACGCGAAAAAAGCAATAATAAGAACGTGGATAAGGTATTTAGAGATTTTTAAAGGGAGCGTCACAGCAAATTCAAATATTAAAATTGAAGAAGATGCCAAAATAATTATTTTCATATGGATTTGCCTACGAACTGGCGGACACAAATTAATAAAGGCGAGGCAAAAGAATCGTCGGGAAACGGTATTGAAGGCTTTTTAAAGGGAGCGTGACAGGAAGCTTTTCAACAAATTTTTGGAATTAATAAGCATCAAATCATGTGAAAAATTTGCAAAATTAATTTTGGAATGCCGAAAAATATTAGCTGACGAGCTTTTTTGAAGGAACAGGCAAAATCCATCGGAAATCCTTAGCCAAAAAAGATAACTTTTGTCTTGCCAGTTCCTTTAAAATCAAAAATTCCTCAAAGCAGGCATTTTTTGGCCCCCAACGGACTGCAAGAAACTTTGCAAAATGCGGCCAGAAAGCGGGTGCCAAAGATCCGGGGATCTCCAAACGAACGAACGAGGGATTGAGTGTGGCCACTTTGTTCATCTGGCCCGATGCTCAAAAAACTGGACGAGAGGAGGGGGAACCGAGACTCGACTGCCAGGGAAAAGCCATGGATTCTATGGAAAACGGAAGTTAGGGCGGCAATTTGGGGGGAGGGAAGGAAAGGAGGAAGAGAGAGAAAGAGAGACCAGAAGGGACCCACCACGCACACTGACTCCCCCCTCACAAACCCTCACTTACTGACTTGGTGCCCCTGGAGGCACTCTCTTTCACTTGCCTCTCTCACTCTCTCACTCTCTCGCTCTCGTTTTGTTGTTTGTCTGTCTGTCTGTTGGGCAAGCGTTCGTCCCCCCGTCCGAAATAAAAAATTTTGGGGTTTGGGGGAGAGGTTTTGGGGGCTATGGGGGCCCCCCCCGCCGATTAGAAGGGCGGAGGGGGGCGGCGGCGGGGCAAGACCTTACTAAGCGCGTTTTTTAGTCTAACTGCCTAGCAATCAAACTATCCGAACGGTTTTCCGGATAATTGACCGTCATTTTGTCTGTTTGTGTGTCTGTCTTTACCGCCTAAAACTGTAAATTGTCTATCCGTCTTACAATAAGTCAAAGTATCTGGTTTTCTTTTCTATCTGTCTGTCTGTCTACCAGTCGCTCGACTCTCTCTCTCTCTCTCTCTCACTCTCTCTCCCCTCTCTCTCTCCCCTCTCTCCATCTCCCCTCACTCTCTCTCTCTCTCTCTCTCTCTCTCTCTCTCTCTCTCTCTCTCTCCCCTGCCAGCTTCACGACCCCACCCCTTCAAAAAGCAATAATCCACAAACGACCTTCCCCTCTTCCCTTTTCCCTTCCAGTCCCAAATAACGCCTTTGGGGGTCTCAGAAACCCCTAAAGCTAGACCTCCCGGAAACATGGCTTTTTGCCGTGTAAATGAGATCCCGTCTCTGCCAGTATTTCCACCAAAAAGAAGAGGAAACAGGAAGCAGTGGATTTGGGCTTGAAATAGCCGGAAAATCGTTGAATTCCTAATGGGGTCAAGGGGAGCAAATTTTGCAAGCTTTTTATTCTGTTGGCAGCTTGCCAAATCGAACGTAGGAGACTTCCTGTAAATCTTTGGAGTGGCAGCTTCAATTTCTCGGCCTGTTTGTGCCTTTAAAGGGACCGTAAAGTACAAAAATCGACGCCTGGGGTCCTCTAGGTCTCGACAACTATGCTACACGAAATGACGCCAGTAAAAATGTAAAGGGATTTTCAAAAGCATGTTAAACGTGTCATTTGCACTCTCAAGTAGTTGTCAGCACCCAGTCGATTAGAAGGGGTAGATTCTGAGACTTTACGATGCCTTTAAAACCGTAAAAAATACAGACGGGCAAAGATCTACACAGAAAATATGAAACAGAAATTGGAAAAATCAAAAAAAAAGGAACTGCCGCGGTATTTTAGGAATTTTCTCGAAAACCGGAAGCTTGTATTTCCGGCGGTGGGTTTGGCACTTCCGGATTTCCCTGAAAGCCGGAAATGAGTTCCCATGCCTTTTAATCGATTTCATGGGAAAGTCCCAGCAAAATTTGGTGAAAAATGGATATTTTTGATTCGAAAAAATCTATACAGTAAAATAGGATCTTGCCAAATCAAATTCGCATAAAACTGATTTTTGCAGAATCTGGCTTGAAGCTGGATGTTTTTTTGGAAGGAAGAGCATTTCGTCTGGCCCACAATAATTAGGGGGGCGTGGCTTGAAACGCCATTTTTCGTTGAGAAATGGGGGGATGGGATGGGCCAATGGCAAATTATAGAGGGCTGAAATGAGGGGTAAGAAAAGACGGATGGCCGGAAGTCGATCGGTTTTATGGTTCTTTGGCTATCTGTCTGTCAGTCTACCGAATGCAGGCAAAAATTCCGTTTTAACGTCTTTAAATGTACTGGCAAGTCAAGGCTATTGATTTTTCCGGATTTTGCGTGCCACAGGCGCGGCGAAAATCCACAGATCTGCATTGCCGGGCCCTTTAAACCGGCCTCCAGTCTTGATTTGGTTTATCTGTCTACCGCCCTATCCATCTGTCCATTCCATGCATTCATCATTCCCCTATAGATAATTGTGGTGGGCAATTTTCCTAGCAATATGCCCCCTCCAATCTTCTCCTCCTCCCGCACGTCAAGCTCCTTGGATAAAGCCTCCATTTTTTTTGGTCAAAATGGGCATAGAATAGCGTGAAAGGCAGTGGGAAATTGCCCCGGAACTGGCTTTTCCATTCTTTTCTTTTCACGAGGAAATAATTTGGCGGAAGGCCGGAAAAATGGGCGAGTGTGGGATGGCCAAGTGGTCAAAGTTCACCTCACGGCTGGGATTCGGATCAGATCGGACATTACAAACGTCGAGAGCGGGGCAAAAAGCCGGGCTCCTTTAGGAATTGTTGCGTTGTCGAAAAACGCAGATCCATAGAGTTTTTGGCTTCTCGGTACCTTTAAAGGTCATCATGCGGGATCTTGAAAGGCTGACTCTTCTTGGAACAACAAAAATTAAGCGCATTAGAAGCAAACTAGCAGGAATTCTTCGCGAATTCTATGGTCAACACTAGAAAATGACACACAAATGAATTCTGCCTGCGTCTACGGTCACTTTGAAAAATTGGTCGAACAGTTAGATGTCTTATGACTATGAAAAACAGTTAACTGACTGTCAGCTAGCCTGTTAACCAAGTTTCTTTAGACACGAGGAAATCGTGGCGGCTGAAAACACGTAGAAGGTTGGGTTGAGCTCCTTCACGCCTTCCGAGTATCCCGCGTGACTGACAAGGAGATGGTCTCAGCTCGCCACCGAGTTTCGATTTGAAAATTTGCACACTGATAGAGCTCGACGAGACGAATCGATTGGTGTAACTTTCAGCTGCCCATACGATAAAATAGCCGAGTTATAAGCATTTTAAATTTTTGCATACATTTTGCATTTTTTCGCCCTACCTTCATAAGCCCTCCCCGTTCCCCCATCACCGTGGCCTGGTGGCCTAGTGGCGTAGCCGGTGGTGTATGGGGAATCTATTGAAGGTTCGAAACCGCTCACGATTCTTATTTTTTGCTTTTTGGCACAAATGCTGCCATTGGCGTTCTGAAGGCCTAGAATCAGTTCGAATTCCTTATTTTAACTCTTTCAAGGCGCAGTGACCATAAAACATCTTTTTTCAGAAATTGGAATTTTGACCCCAAGGGGCATTAACTGTCCCAGCAACAAAATTAAAAATTAAAAATAGAACAAAAAGTTAAGAATCAATATAATTTACGGTGAATGCGTTGTGTGTCAGCAAGCATTGTTCATTGTCGCAATTTTTTTGAAAATGTTGTTCATACGTTGTTCATAGGTCCAATGTTAAGTTCGGAAATTTTTGATGATGAGGTATTGTGGTCACTGCGCCTTGAAAGAGTTAAAATAAGGAATGCGAACTGATTCCAGGGGCCTTCAGAAAGCCAATGACAGCATTTGTGCCAAAAAGCAATAAATAAAAATCGTGAGCGGTTTCGAACCTTCAATCGATTCCCCATACACCACCGGCTACGCCACTAGGCCACCAGGCCACGGTGATGGGGGAACGGGGAGGGCTTATGAAGGTAGGGCGAAAAAATGCAAAATGTATGCAAAAACTTAAAATGCTTATAACTCGGCTATTTTATCGTATGGGCAGCTGAAAGTTACACCAATCGATTCGTCTCGTCGAGCTCTATCAGTGTGCAAATTTTCAAATCGAAACTCGGTGGCGAGCTGAGACCATCTCCTTGTGAGTAGTCAGAGGAATAAAGGGAGGCAAGAGAAAGGGAGAGAGAGAGATAGAGAGAGAGAGAGAGAGAGAGAGAGAGGAAGCGAGTGAAGCAGAGAACAAAAAGGAGGCGCTGAATAATTTATTTGGAAGGGGAAATCGAGCCTGAAGAGTTTGGAGCAGGAGGAGGAGGGGAGCCTCGTAGAGGAGAAGGAGGGCTATGTGGCCAGCCAACCAATGCCAAAGCTAATTAGTCGTCGAGAAGGGGATGGCTATCTAGAGGAGAAGAGGAGGATGTAAAGAGGGAATGACGGGGAATATTCCTCGCATAACAAGTCGGCTGGATAAACTGGATGGTGCCGGGGATTCTGACAAAAAAACGCTTCACCGGGATATTTAGAGGAATGCAACGGAGGATACTTAATCCAGGTTCAAACGTGTCAGAAGAGCTGAATTCAGTAGAAATACTCACTTGCTCGGTCAGTGTGCATGGCAGAAAGACAGTTCCTTCTAAAAATAGTCGTACACCGAGCGTAAAGAGGAATGGAGCGGAACTACCCACTCAAGAGGCCAGACAAGATGGTAAAAAAGCAGGGCCTTCTAAAAAATTAAAAACTAGGTATTATCAATGGCACAATAATTTTTCTGTTAAACTGGATACCAGCAAAGTCAAATTTTGTCTGCAACTTCAGAAAAAGGTCTGGCGTTAATAATTATAGCCACGGAATTACTTGATCGAAAGGCTAATCTGGATGGTAGTAAATCCAAACGGCCAATACAGATTTTAGCCCGAAATGAAAATCTTAACAAATTAGCATACAGGGCACCACTAAAATTGCTAAAATTTGCATAAAGGGCAGGGGGATAGATGAAAAGACAAAAAGCTATTCAAGGCGCTTCCCCCTTGTCCATCCACTCTACACCGATGGTCCTCAAGCTGTACCTCATCGCGCTGTTGTCGTTGTCGATGCTCGTCGGGTAGGATAATTTTTGATCATCCAAAAATGTCCTGTTAAAAATGACTGGAGTGTTTTCAGGGTGTCGTCCACCCTCGATTCGGACAACTCTCCAAATGAGGTGCCGGGCTCGGCGACCGTCGATGCACCCGGCCTGATCGCTGCTACGCGCCATTTGCAGCAGGGCTACGGCCCGAAGCCCGTGCTCTGTCGCTGCATGATCCCGAAATCCGTTCGGTAATTTGTAGGGAGCAAAAAAGCTCCTCTTTAGCGGGTCGGAAAATTGTCCGATGTTAACAAGTTCGGTACCTACTCCACAATGCAAGTCATAAGGCTTAAAGATTCGAAAATTTTGAGCGTTTTTCGTCGTTTTTCACACGATTTTGGAACAAAAAGCCAAAAAGTTTTCGAAGTAGGTATTTACAGATTTCTCGAAATTAGGTCTAAAAACTGTGTATAATGCTATAGCATGGTTTATATCTTGTTGTCGGACGAACAGGACCACAGAGAAAAATTAGTTGCCGCCCTGTGAACAACCCAGTACCAAAAACCCCTTCAACGGATTTCGACCGCTAAAAACGCTGTTTTAGGGTGATAAAGGCCCCTAATAGGGGCTGCCGTGGACGCCCTGGGGGCTTCATCGCTTGCCGTGAGAATCGAGGGCACTTTCGGCGGCTGCTAGTTGAGCTGCAGAGGGCCATTGATGCCTCGTTGTACTCGCCAGAGAGAGGTCGGTGCCGAATAAGTAAAGCTGTAGCGGAATACCAGAATGTTCGTCAGGGTTGTGACCGAAATGGCGAAATGTCAGCGTAACCTTTTTTATAGGGACGCCCTGTATAATCCGGTTTTCGAAAAAAATAGTAAAACATCAACAAAATTGAGGGGGGGGGGAAAGCCGGTAACAAACGTAAACTAGACATTAGCCAGCGATTTAGAGCTGATGTCGTACGAGGAGTGGCTCGTAGAAGAATATCCGGCACACGTGGTGCTGGTGTCGAAGGTGGATGAGCTGTTCGAGCTCTTGCATCAGATCCGAGGCTCTCCGGTTTGGTCCGCCTGGTTCCTGAGGGATCCAAGTGAGGGGCTTTGGCGGGTTGTGCTTTTTGATAGCTTTTACCGTCGTCAACGGTTGTGGTCCTTTAGCGCACAGCTGCAACTGGGAGTGCCCGCCGAGGATCTACCCCAATGGGACGAGCATGGATGGTAGGGCCAAGTTCTCTCTGAGTCTCTCTCACTCGCCCTCTCCTCTCGCTCTCTCTCTCTCTCTCTATATCTCTCTCTCTCTCTCTCGCTCTCTCCCTTGTGCTTTCTCTCGTCAATGATCTCTATCTTCTTCAGCCCCACCGGTCGTCGACGATCCTCGGCGAGTTCGAGCAGCAACCGCCCCGTGACTAGCCCCGGCACAGAACCACATGGTGCATCGCGGCTTCTACCAAGATCTCAACGTCAACCAATCAACCAAACCCAACCATTTTTTAGTTGTACCATTCACATGACTAGCCCTCTCCCCCTTTTCTATGTCTCTCCCCTGCAGTACCCGACTCATAGTGTTGGCCCTTTTTATCTATCGTACGCCTCGCTTTTGTGTGGAATAAAGTTCTTGGGTGGAGCTGTGAACTACATAAAATCGAAATTGACTGGCAAAAACTTTATCGAACATCAGAAAACTAAAAAGATCCCATCAACTCGTCGGGCTGGCAGGCAAAAAGCTCTCGCCCCACAAGATTCAAAGAAGAAGAGGAATGAAAAGGAAAAATTTCCTCCAAATGTCAGACTGGTAGCCGGGAAAGTTGCAATGACATTCAACTAGTGCAAAACTCGAGTGTCAAAAGAAAAGTAGTGAAAAAGTATCCCACAGACGGCCAGCTTGGCTGGCAAAAAAGTCTGAAGTGCAACTCAGAACGGGTAAAACGCTAGGGCCAAGAGGAGGGTGGTTAAAAAAGTCCGCAAAAAGGTAAGCTTAGCTTAGGAGAGAAACGCCAAATTGACCGCTAGAAGTCAGAAAGCCCACTCTCATTGGAATGTAATGGAAAACTTGATAAAATTCCCTAATTGTCTTGAAGAAAAGCCGAATTGTTACACAGAACATTTTACACTGGAATGTACCGAGAAAGGAGACGGAAAAGAGATGCCAGACTATTGCGCCAGAAGAATAGAATTGGCATGCGATGCGTCAAAAATAACGGAAACGTTATAAAAAATATAACGGAAAAATGTCCCACAGATGCCAGTTTGGTTGGCAGTAAAGCCGAATTGCTACTCAAAACGGCAAAAACTCGAGCGTTCAGAGGAATGCTGAGTAAAAATAAAAAATAATAAAACTCAAGTAAATAATTTAATTATGTAAAATTACCTGTTCAGGGCACGGATTAAAATCCTGCGGTCCATTAGCCGGCCCAGCGGCATTTGGATGGATTGTCTCCCAATACAGTTTGGCTGTGTAGCTTGGAATTTAGCAAAAATATTTGGGTTTCAGAAGTAAAAATAGCCCTTCTGGCGGTCAGATGCCCGAATTAGAGGGGTATTTAGGGGGCAGAATGAATGGCAAGATTTGTGGATAGACACGGATTGATTTTCGAGTAGACAGAATAGAAGAAGAGAAGAAGAGGTGATGGAGGGCAGAGTAAGCCGGATTAGAACGAGAAGAAGAAGAAGAGGGGCCACCAACCACACTCCTTTATGAGGGAGGGCCAAGTATACGTGTGGTGTCGCGGAATATTAGGTTCCGAATTTTGACCGGGGGTATTTTTGGACTCCCTGGGCGGCAGTAACCTCAGAAATAAAGTTTGGTGTCGAATATATATATATATAGTTTAGTTCAAGAAGGATTCGATTTTTATATGAACTGGGCAACAGTTAGCTCAAAAATAAAATTCGTAGCTGATTTTGTAGTTTGTAGTCAATAAGAATACGGTTTTATGTTTACTGGCAGGCAGTTAGCGGGAAAATAACATTTGGGAAGCAGTTTGTAGCCCAGAATATCTGTCTAGATTTTATATTTGGCTTTTCTGAATGCCAATTAGAGGGAATATGAAACTTGTAATCAGGTTTGTGTTGTGTACTACTATGTTCCGAAATCTGACCCGTAAATGAAAATTTTGGTCAATCTGTCCAGCAGAAACCTCGAATTTGTAGGAATTTTCAAAGGTTACCAGAGTTCCAGAAAGTTTGGCGGGGCGAAATGTAGTTATTCGGAAGTGGTTTGGCGGTTGGAAGGTCCCGCCACGGTCTTTTCTCGCCAATAAAATCACAAATTTCAAGAAGAGGTGGCCGCAGAGGTACTCTTCCATCTGTCTCTCTCTCTCTCTCTCTCTCTCTCTCTCTCTCGAAATCTTGATAATCAGCCGCGACAATTCGTTTTGGGCCCTTCAACGAGCGGGGGAAGACAAGGGCTTTTCTGGTTGGTACAAGTCCTCTCGTTCCGTACAAATGAAACCCCCAAAACTCACATAAAAACTTAATTTTGAACCTAAATGCAAAGAATTAGATCATCTAGATAAAACAAAAAAGCACCAGGTATTAGAAAAACCTGTAGAAATAATCTAATAGCGGATATAATCAATGCCGGGCAGGCTAGCGGAAACTTTTATAGGAAGCCAGTGGCTAAACATAAAATTTCTTAGTGCAATGCGCTAACTGGCATACAGATAATTCATTGGTAAGATGAATTCGATTACAAACTCCATAGCCACCGATTTTGTGAGAAAATGTGTTGTCATCGCTGAGGGCTAGAGGTTCGAAAATCTGGGGCTGTTCCCTACGCCTTTCCTCAGCCGCTATAATCGAATCATCACGGGGATATTATTCGTATGAATTGGGTGGCAGACAGATCTTCTGAAGAGAGAGAGAGAGAGATAGAGAGAAAGAGAGAGAGAGAGAGAGAGAGAGAGAGAGGGAGAGATAGAGAGAGGGGAGGGAGAGAGATATTCCGAAGATATTCACACGGACCTTTGGAGCTTCTGCGGCTCAGATTTCAGCCGAAAAGCGAAGATCATCGCTGTAAATATCACTATAAACTCTAAGCTTTTTACAAGTTGTATAATAATTCCATTGACGACAATTTAAAGGTACCAATTAACCCCGACGAATTCAGGAAACGAATCCTGCATCGGATCCGTCCTTGTTGAAAAACGCGTACAAGCAATTAACTGAATTGCCGCGAAAAGCCCTTGAGAATCCCGGAAAATTGAAGACGAAAACAAAAGACGCAAAGTGCACTCAGATTGTAGCCCGTAGTCTTCATTCGAGACAGGACGTCAAACTAGCAGTGATTATTTTAGGCCGGCGCAACTTTTTATCAAAGTAGTGCAGGCTAGCAGGGATTATTTGAGGATGATCGGCTCGATTTTTAGGCTTGAAATTTAGCAAGTAATTTTAATTTAGCGATGTTGCTAAAGGCTCGCTAGCAAAGGCCATTTGCGCAGTTAAAATTGGACTTAAAAATTCATAGTGGGCGCCGAGCTAGCAATAAACATTTAGGCAGCTTCATTCTAGTTTTTGACCTTGAAAAGTCTGGAGAATTGCGCGAAAAGCGGTCGCGAAGACGTCAACAACAGAAGAAGAGGTCGACTCGGAATACCAACAAGTCACACAGGGAAATTATCTCCCTCTTCTTCTAGTCGTGACGGGACCCAATAGGAGGGGACTGCCGGTCTCCTCTCTCTCTCTCTCTCTCTCTCTCTCTCTCTCTCTCAAATCCCTTGAGACTCATCGAGTCGTGGGATAACTGCCTCTTCTCCTCTCTTTTCTCTATGGCCATAATGGGTCCCCTTCAAAAAAGCCTCTGGGTCCTCAATCCTTCACTCTGTTTCTCTGCGTCTCTTCCCTCTCTCTATTCTCTAAACTGACATCCGGGGAATATCGAGTCGCAAATAATTGGGGCTATATGTTGTCCACAGGAGTCGAGCGGAGGCCTGAGAGGAGATATGGGCTTAATTCTTGCTATTTTGTCAACGACTCTGAAACTTTTAGAAGAGCTAAAATGGCATTCAGCAACTATAAAAAGTAGATAATAAGGCTAACTGACATGCAGAGGAGCGTAGTGTAGGGTTGGAAATTAAAAAAGCTATTTTTCTCAAAGTTGGCTTTAAAAAGTGAGCCGTCTGGGAGCAAAACCCAAGGTAGACGATGAATAATTTAGTCAGGGAACAAAGAGAGTACACTTTTTACTATAGACTACTTTTGGCGAGGGGAGTAGAACGGCTTTTGAACCGGAAAGCTTCAACTTTGGTGTCGAAACGCAGACGACAGCTATTTTAAAGGGGTGGGACCGCAGAGAAAACAGAGCATCAGAGAGAGAGAGGGAGAGAGAGAGAGAGAGAGAAAGAGAGAGAGAGAGAGAGGGAGAGATAGAGAGAGGGGAGGGAGAGAGATATTCCGAAGATATTCACACGGACCTTTGGAGCTTCTGCGGCTCAGATTTCAGCCGAAAAGCGAAGATCATCGCTGTAAATATCACTATAAACTCTAAGCTTTTTACAAGTTGTATAATAATTCCATTGACGACAATTTAAAGGTACCAATTAACCCCGACGAATTCAGGAAACGAATCCTGCATCGGATCCGTCCTTGTTGAAAAACGCGTACAAGCAATTAACTGAATTGCCGCGAAAAGCCCTTGAGAATCCCGGAAAATTGAAGACGAAAACAAAAGACGCAAAGTGCACCCAGATTGTAGCCCGTAGTCTTCCTCCGAGACAGGACAGGCAAACTAGCAGTGATTATTTTAGGCCGGCGCAACTTTTTATCAAAGTAGTGCAGGCTAGCAGGGATTATTTGAGGATGATCGGCTCGATTTTTAGGCTTGAAATTTAGCAAGTAATTTTAATTTAGCGATGTTGCTCAAAAGGCTCGCTAGCAAAGGCCATTTGCGCAGTTAAAATTGGACTTAAAAATTCATAGTGGGCGCCGAGCTAGCAAAAACCATTTAGGCAGCTCCATTCTAGTTTTTGACCTTGAAAAGTAGCGAGAATTGCGCAGAATTCTGTCCAGAAGACGTCAACAACAGAAGAAGAGGTCGACTCGGAATACCAACAAGTCACAGAGGGAAATTATCGCCCTCTTCTTCTAGTCGTGACGGGACCCAATAGGAGGGGGACTGCCGGTCTCCTCTCTCTCTCTCCCTCTCTCTCTCTCTCTCTCTCTCTCTCAAATCCCTTGAGACTCATCGAGTCGTGGGATAACTGCCTCTTCTCCTCTCTTTTTTCTATGGCCATAATGGGTCCCCTTCAGAAAAGCCTCTGGGTCCTCAATCCTTCACTCTGTTTCTCAGCGTCTCTCCCTCCTCTCTATTCTCTAAACTGACATCCAGGGAATATCGAGTCGCAAATAATTGTGGACTATATGTTGTCCACAGGAGCCGAGCGGAGGCCTGAGAGGAGATATGGGC